AGGGCACGAGAGAGGGAGATTGATATGGAGCACATCAGCAAGAGGAAGGCGGAGATTGGGCAGACGACTGGGGTTTCGGTGAAGAAACCCAAGGGATTCGACTTGAGGTCGAAGGGATAGCAGGGTCGGAGCCGCTGTGGGAAATGCGGCAAAACGCATGAGGGAGTTTGTAGAGTAGGGGGATCGGGCTGCTGTAAGTGCGGAAAGTTGGGGAACTTTAAAAGGGATTGTATTGCCCCTACTCCCACCATTCAGACATCAGAAATGCTTTGTTTTCACTGCAATCAGAGAGGCCAAAAAAAGGCCAACTGCCCGAGATTGGTATCAGGAGTGCCAGTGGCGGCGCCAACTCCAGCGACCCTGCAGATCACAGATGGCCACCAGGGCAAGTCAGATGCTCCTGTGGTGAGGAGTCGAGCCTTCCAAATGACCGCGGAGGAGGCGCTTATCGCACCGGATGTGGTAAATGGTATGTTTATTCTCCCTAGTTTTTATTTTATGTCAATTTTAATATTTATATTTCATGTATCTTGTTTTAGGATCGTTCCATGTGAACGGTATCCCAGTGTTGGTATTATTTGACTCGGGGGCTACCCAATCCTCTGTATCGCTCGCGCTTAGCAAGAGATTTGTTAGAGCTCCAGGGGAGCTGGACTTTCCCCTTGATGTAGAGATTGCAGATGATAGGACCGTTCGGGTCGCGAGGGTTCATCGAGGATGTACACTACAGTTGTTCGATGAGCAGTACTCTGTGGATTTGGTCCCTATTCCCCTGCGAGGGAATAAGGTTATCGTGGGTATGGACTGGTTGAGCCCCAATGGGGCAGTGATCGACTGCGAGCGGCAGCTAGTGCGAGTTAGGACCCCAAGTGGGGGAGGGTTGGTGATTCAAGGTGAAAGGTTGCACGGTGGAACGACTTTGTGTTCGACAGCGAGGGCGAGACGCTACCTTCAACACGGTTGCGCAGGTTATGTCGCTTATGTCATGGATACCCGGGAGAAGGGTAAGACGACCATACACGATGTACCGATCATACGGGAGTACTCAGACGTGTTCCCGAAGGATTTGTTTGGGGTACCTCTGGAGAGGCAGGTAGAGTTCAGGATTGACTTAGTTCCTGGTGCGGCTCCGATAGCCAAGGCACCATATCGGCTGACTCCTCCCGAGATGCAGGAGTTGTCCACACAGCTGCAGGAGCTGTTAGACAAGGGATTTATCAGGCCGAGCAGTTCGCCATGGGGAGCCCCGATCCTGTTTGTGAAGAAGAAGGACTGGTCACATCGGATGTGTATAGACTACCGGGAGTTGAATAAGGTAACGGTGAAGAACCGTTATCCCATCCCGAGGATTAATGACTTATTTGACCAGCTTTAGGGTGCATCTTGGTTCTCCAAGATTGATCTGCAATCAGGCTACCACCAGATGCGAGTCAGGGACGACGATATGCAGAAGACAGCCTTTCGGACTCGCTATGGTCAATATGAGTTCGTGGTGATGCCGTTTGGGCTCACCAATGCGCCTGCCGCGTTCATGGATCTCATGAACCGCAAGTGCAGACCGATGCTGGATCGGTATGTGATAGTTTTTATCGATGACATCTTGGTGTATTCCAAAACTCAGGAGCAGCACGAGGAGCACCTGAGGGAGGTGATGGAGACACTGAGGAGGGAGAGACTTTTCGCAAAGTTCTCCAAGTGTGAGTTTTCGTTGCGCGATGTGCAGTTTCTGAGGCACCTTGTCAACCAGAATGGTATAATGGTCGATCCGGCCAAGGTATAGGCCGTGATGAGATGGGAGGTTCCGAGGTCTCCATCCGAGATTCAGAGTTTTCATCGTCTGGCGGGTTATTATCAGAGATTCATCCAAGATTTCTCCAAGATTGTTGTTCCACTGATCCGACTGACCAAGAAGTCGATCACATTCCGCTGGGGGCTGAGCAGCAGGCAGCCTTCGAGACTTTGAGACAGAAGATGTGTTAGGCACCGATATTGACTCTGCCAGAGGGCGTTGAGGATTTGGTAGTGTATTGTGACGTGTCTATCACGAGCTTAGGCGCAGTATTGATGCAGAGAGGGCGCGTCATCACTTACGCCTCGAGGCAGATGAAGCCTCATGAGGCGAATTACCCGACATACGACCTGGAGTTGGGGGCAATTGTTTTTTCCCTCAAGATTTTGCGACACTACCTCTATGAGGTCCGTTGTACTATCTACACGTACCACAAGAGCCTGAGGTACTTGATGGATCAGCCAAATATGAACATGGGGCAGCGACATTGGTTGGATGTGGCGAAGGATTAAGATTGTGAGATCCTTTATCACCCGGGGACGAAGCTTCGACGGTCTAGTTAGTATGAGGGTTCTTAGGAGAATACAAAATTTTGGGTTTTAGATGCAAGGAAGCAATCCTTTCCTATGAAGGAGAAGGATTCCTTTTATACTTGTCCTCCTGGTGAGCATGATCCCAACACTTTACTTTGTTCAGTCTAGTTCGAAAGGACGTGGAGAAGTTCCATTGGTGGATCGTGCATCACTAGTAGTCCCCTCTGCTATTGGTGCAGAGGGAATAAAGTATAATGATCTAAGCATTACACTTGTATCCCTAGGGAGCGGTCAATTGTATTTTGGTTTATTATAGTCCGAAGATTGTTGTTTGGAATTGGACCTGGGCGAGAGAGCACCAAGCACCAGAGTCCTAACACGAGGCCGCGAGAGCGAGGGCTCGGGTCTGGCACTTGGTTGGTTAGCTACCGTTAGCTAGGTCATTCTAAACATAACAATTCTATTATTTTTAACGTATTCCTAGAGGGATACGTTAACAATCATAGAGTTGATCATCTTCTTTTTCTATAGTCGGGTGATAGAGTTGGTCCATCTAGGACACAACAGTGTCATGGTGACGAGGATCGACATTGTTATACTTTTATGCTTATTTCATTTTATTAGACATAGTATTTTAGTCTTTTTATTTTGGTTTGTTTAAAACTTAGTTTAGTGTTATGGTTTGTATTTTTGTGTGGTTTGTTTTTATTTTTTGTTTTGTTTTCCACGATGATGCTCTTTGATTTTTAGATCTTTTCCGAATTAAATTTCCTTTAGAAAGTTGGCCGTAAATTCAGTATGTAGGAGCGATTGTGTCAAGATACTTCACGAGAGGCGTAGTATCACACAAGTATGAGTTTATTTACCACACGAGAGAGGAATCGGGGTATCAGATCCATCACGAATAAAGAGGGACGAGTTATTACAAGGCACTGGAATTCCTGAAGTTGCCGACGTTCTAGATCGACTTTTACGTGGAGAAGAAATTTATTGTTCGAATATCGCAAGCGAGCCTAGCTAACCTAAGTCGTGACAAACTATTTGATCGCAAAAGAAGTTTCACACTTTCAATAATCACGACGCGACATTCACATACTAGCGTCGCGACGATTCTAGAGTTCTTCAATTGTACTATTATACGATGTTTTCTCCAATCAGTTCGCATGAGTCCGATAAAGAGCATAAACGAGATGAACATTCAATTTTCAATTTCCGACAATTACACAAGTAATGATTTAGCACCAACAGCCCATAACAATCATATTGGCTCTTGCCACTACTATCCCAAGATATTTTGTCCCTTTTCTCCCTTATGTCTTTTAATTGATTTTATGCATACAATGGTGACATTGTATGTAATAAGTGTAGGGTAGGAGGTCATACTAGATAAATTTTGGTCAACTTCAAAATTTGAAATTACGTTTCCAAGCATTAGTTTATTTATTTTTTGTTGAAGTATGAAAAGAGTTAGTTGAAAAATTGTAAAAAATAGAAAACATTGTAAAAAAGGTATAAAAAAGTTGTTGAAAAGTTAAAAAAAAAAAGTCAATAATGCAAAATTTTCAATAGTCCGTAAAAGTTCAAATGTTGGGTCAATAAGAGACTACAAAGTATGAAAATTTTAAAAAAAGTCTCACAAAGTGAAGTCAAATGAGCAACTACAAAAAGGAGAGGTCAAAGTTCGAAGTTAAAGTCTTTATTTCTTTGTTATTTTTTTTTTAAATTGAGTCTAGAAGCTTGGAAACTATAACAAGACCTAAATTTATTCTATGTTTGCTTGAGGGCAAGCAAAACCCAAGTGTGAGGTATTTTTATAAAGTCTATTTTATGCATATATCTCCGACAATATCTTAGTATTTTTTTGTTATGTTTTGATAATATTTAGAACAAAATGTGCTTAAAATGCTTTAAATTATGTTAGTGTAGGATTTATACGTTGCTGGAACGAAAGGATGCAAGAAGATTGGAAAAGGAGCAAAATTAGGAAAAGTCCAGAATAATGTTGAACTAATGAGACATGTCACGCCTTTTAAAGCCGACATACCTCTCCCTCGCAGATCACATGTGAGGATAGTAATGGATTTAAATTATCATGATGCGGATCTTATTTATCGTGACACTAATTTCACAGAAGTCTATAAATAGATGTGAAATTCGCCCTAAAAATACATCTGATAACCCAAGACAACTTGGTTGACAAGAAACCTCAAACCTGCGGTTTTGAGAGTGTAGAATGCGGCCTGGGGGATGTTAAGATGATATGGAGTGAAGATAAGAAGGATTAGAGAGCCGATTATGCTATTTATTGCCTTTCATGAACATTAAAGTCAATTCCTCGATTAAATCTCTCATAATCCGAATATAATTATAACTAGGTGGGGAACCCCGCGTTGCGGGGATCGGATGTGACAATTTTTTTTTGTTGTTTGTTAAAAATGGAAGATGTACGAAATGGCAATCTATGTTTGTTTTTTGGTAAAGGAATTAAAAGAAATTGCAAAAAAATAGAGAGAATAACCCCGCGTTGCGGGGTTCGAAAGGCCAGCAGTATTTGCGAACGCCCTCCCAAAGTTCGTTGCCATTCCTAAACGACATAACAATACATATAAACTACCGACCACTTGCTTCTCAACAATCTAATAAACACACACCTGAAACACTCCAAAAGAAAGTGATGAACAGAAGGTTGCTAGAGTAATTGAATAAGGTTGGTACACTGATAGAATTATAATATGTGTATGTTTACAAAAGATTTTTATGAGGAGGTGGATAGATTGCTAATTTCTTATTCATGGAACTTGCATCTTGACGAACAGCTTCTATGTGCAGAACTGCAGATATGGATGTCTTGCATTGGATGCATCTGTCAATGTTGTAAGCATTATTCCCCTACAACATCAAAAGGGTAAAGTTGGTAATGTATGTAAATAAACCAAAGAGAGAATTATTGCATGTATATATGAACCTAAAAAGGTAACAATGAATTGAACAATAAAAAGTGACATTTAAAACGGTTTCCAAGATATAAAATTTCCATTTTCAGACAATCCATGTGTAATTTCTGTTGCTGAAATCGGTTGACATTTTCTCAAAACTGATAAATAGAGAAGATTTCACAGACATGCTTCATGATAGACCAACTAAAACCAAAGATTCCGGTCTGTCACCTCTAAGGTAAGTGGATATTGAAATAGAATTGGGGAAGAAAGCAAGAAACCCTAAGTTTCTTTGTTTGAAATCTTGGTAGGTCCGTTGGAATCAGTTGCCTTTTTGCTCTCGCCTCCTTCTCTGCTGAATCACCAAATGCTATCATTTGTACAATCTGCATGAAAAACATTCAAGAAACCCTTAAAATCAAAATACATGCGTAATGTGTGTAAATTAAAGAGAAAAATTATACTTGTTCCTTAAGATAGTACCTTATTGTCTATGGAGGCAATTTCCCATTCGGAAATCATCAATAGATTAGTGAGTGGAATGAAATATAACCATTATTAGATACAAAAAGGTAATGAAATTTACCTTAAAACCATGCAACTGTTATAAAAAATAACAAAGAAGTAAAATGCTATAAGAATAAAAAAATTATTGGAAATATTTAGCGGGCTAAATGCAAGAAGAAGCAAAAATACGTCCACTTGTTTTTTACCAAAAAACAACATGTAGGGGTAGTTTGGTCAAAACTGTTAAAATAACTTTTTTTATCCAAAAAAAGTATGAGTACATAAAACGATAAAATAGTATGGGCGTATAAAAAAAGTTAAATTGCATAAAACCTAGATGATATTCAGAAACACACCATAACACCATACCTATTTTGCAAGATTTGTACTTTACGTTTGTTGATGACAATACCTTAAATTGTTGAACATATTCAAAAGTAGGGGCAATATGGTCCTAAAACTATAAAGAAATTAATTTTATTAATATAAAAGCAGGGGCAATATGGTCCTAAAAATGAATTTTTTTTTAATATTAAAAGTGTGGAGGGGCAATATCGTCCTAAAACAATAAATATTGAATTTTATTAATTTAAAAACAATGTTCAGGGGCAATATCGTCCTCAAATTATAAAAATGAAACCTTGAAATAGAATTAAACCATCCGGTGTGAAGCCCTACAAATTCCGATGTATGAGTGATCAATTTCCTCACCTTCCAATCTCTATCCACCGATTTCACACCTGCAGTTCACCTAACCATATCTTCCTACCAATATCATTTAAAAATATATAAGAATCAGACAGTTTTTATATGGCCAAAAAGAAAGGTAACCAGGTTCAAGTTGTGACCTTGCAACAATAGCGAACATTCCCACTTACATCCTTCCAGATGCCAAATATGAGGTCCAACTGATTTGAGAAAAAGCCTACATCAATATACACAACCAAGAAATAGCAGGTCACTGGTAATGGGATTCAAAAACTGAAAAAAAAAAGTTAAGAAATCGTTGATAAATTAATAGTAAACTGCAAAAACACTCATGTGGTTCGCTTTTGAGCTGTTGTAATGGCCATTTTGCCATTGGAGCTGTTTAATCTAGAGTGTTATACGATTAAAAAAAAAACAGGTAGAGTAATTTGTTCTAGTAGTATTTACATTGAACATGGATTATTTGAATAACTAAGTTTTAGGAATTTGAACACCTCCCCAACACTATTCTACACTAATAATTTCATTTTTTTCTGTTCTATTTTTATAAATAAGGTTGGGGTAGGGTGGAGGTGTCCAAACCTTCATGGAAAATCTATCCCATCTATGGAAGTTCACACAGTGCCACCACCACCATCTAATATGGCCAATACTACTCTACTGCCCTGCTCCGTTTGAGCCACTATTGCTGCTGTTGTGTTCGTTTCTTTGGAGCGGCCTAGCAGCTGGCATCTGTGCTTCATGCCATTTCCTGCAGAAATCCCACAACATAAATGATAAATCTAATTAACAAAGTAAATGACCAAAATGAGTTTATAGAAAAGTGAAACTTACAAAGGTGTTAGCCAATATAGATGATAAATCTAATTAACAAAGTAACTACAAGGGTGTGTTCCCATTACAGATGAGGTTGAGCAGGCTACAATAGGGATGAACTTTCTACGACTTAAATCGATGTATCAACAGATAGGTAATTGATTACAATTATTATTTTCACATAAAGCAAAAGCAATATCAAAATACATGAAAATTGAAGGGCACATTTTTCAACACTAAAATAGAGTAAATGAACCTGATGTACACAGAGGAACAAAATTATACTTCCTTCTGTCTATGGAAATTGTAATGCCCATTTTTGGATGTCTGAAAAACTTTTGAGATGCATGATGTTGATTTCTCTTAAAAAGATTCGATTATTTTGTTGGTATTTAATGGTGTTTATGATATTTTCGTTACAATCGAATTCATGGAAAGAAAAGAGTAGCAGATATAGTTAAGATTATTGTTATATCCTCCCAAAATTCTTCCTAAAATCCCGCTTATTGGACACTGTGTTTGCTTCTGTAAGTGTAATTTTTCTTTGGTAAATGTCCGTAAGCAGGATTTTTAGGAATCGTTAAACCCTATTCGAACGGAATTAAACGAAAAGAACACTAACCAGGGTCGCACTGCTGATAGAACTCTTCTACATCTGTCAAAACTCGAACAAAATCAAAATTAGATGAACAAACTTTAGCAAATTAAACAGGTATAAACAAAGGGGAATCAAAAATTGAAAGGAAATTAGAATTCAGTTAATCAAATTCGAGAATTAAGAGAAAGCATTAGAATTGCAGAGATAGGGGAGAAGGTGGAAGGAGGCGGAGCACAGAGCTCGCAAAGAAAAAAGATAAGGTGGAAGGAAGTGGAGCACAGACCTGGAAATCGTCTTCTTGCCATTGGACCGTCGATGGTTCCGTGCAGCAAGATGATTATGTGAAGTAGAAGAACCATCGACTTGGTGAGATGATTAAAGGCGTTCTCGATCCATTAGTCGCCGACCTGTGGATATATCCTTCCATTTTGAGTCAGTGAAGCGCTCGTCTGGTGGGACATCGATTGAACGTCGGAGGCGCTGGACTGCCGACACGGCCGACCAATGGAGGCAGGTAGAGGTTACATATCGGAGAGGAGGTTTGAAGAAGAGGATTAAAACTGTTTTTGAGGCGTTCTAAAGCAGGTGGGGGGAAGGTAAGCAGAACCGGTGGGGGAAGGCGGGGGAACGACACGTATCAGCTCCATTCTTATCTTCTAAGGGACCAAATTGTCAACACCACAAACTTTAGTGCCAAAAATCTGAACCAATCAAAATAAGAAAACCTATGGGCCATTTTTGCCAAAAAAACACTCCACTTCACTGTTCAATTAAGTGGTCATCTTTTATATATATATATATATAGATATATAAAAGAATTGTTTGGATGATTAATTGCATGTCCAATGTGTTGAATTTCTTTATGATTATACAAAATTAGTTCGTGTGACCAAGATAATTGATTGCAATAGGAATCGTTAAGTAATGAATAAATAATCATTGCACTTTAATAACTAACCATGATTTTGAAATATAATCAACTTTAAACCAAAGTACTTAGAAGTAAATTAGTTCCGATTAGTATATCTAGTAAAATTCACAATCATTTAAATTATATAATCAAAACCCCTTCCTTTTGATTGGTTTTTTGTTTGTGTTTTGGAGTAACATATAATACAAAAATTATAATATTAATTCATACTCGTTCACAAGAGTTCAACACCCTTTATTATCAAAACTATACTGCTACACGATCATGTTCACTACCTGTAATGTGTATTAGTTTAGTTGTGATAATTAAGAATTATAAATTTAAAACTAATTCATTAAAAATACACATCAAAAATAGAGTTCGATAATATACTCTATTCTGAAAATGAAAAATTACTTAAAAAATAAATTAGACTACGCAAGGTTACTTATAAATATGAGACGTTACTGTTACTAAAAAAATAAATTAGACTATGCAAGGTTGTCAAGATCAAGATTCTACACAAGGTTGTCAAGATCAAGTTACTTAAAAAATAAATTAGACTATGCAAGGTTGTCAAGATCAAGATTCTACGTAAGACCGTTTTGGTTTTGCAAGATCGGTAACGAGATCTTACAATCCTACAAAAATACATAATTATAAGTTTAAAACATAATATGTCTATCAATCATTTTATTGTTCAAAAGTTATAAAATGTTTAAAATTTTAGTTATAACACATACCAAGACAATATTTGGATTAAAAATTAGAAGCTTGGGAAGTTTCAATTATGCTCTTTTATTGCGGGCTTTAGGGCTAGAGTTTGCGGATAAATTAAAAAATTTGATTAAATTAAAATAATAAACAAAAAATAAGTTAGAATGACATGAGTTATGAAAAAATGAATCCTAATAATATTTTTACATGGTAATTGAAAAAAATAATAACTTAAATCTTAACATTTGGAAGTTAAGGACTTAATGAGTAAAAAATGACAAAAGTGTGGTTCACCAAAGAGTTGACTCACTTAAATGCTTTTGGATCATTAAATTCATAAATGAGATGAAGAGGGACTAAAATAGCTAACTCTCAAAGTTAAAATCTACTAGTTGGTGGATTATGACCTTTATTGTAAAAAAAATATGAAGAAAGGTAGGTAAAAATCTAAAATTTGTTCATAAGATGCACTCCTCCTCCCTATTTCAACCAAAAACACGATTGAAGAGCTAGAGGGCAGTTATAAATGGTGATTCCATGGAGAAACACCATTTAGAGTTGATTTCAAGCAAGCATAGTAGAGAACGGAAGGATTTAAGGTTTTAATGTATTATTTCTCAAAAGTTGAACATGTTTTGGTCCAAACTCATATGACTCAAAAAAACATTATTGTCTTACTTTTTTTCTTTCTAAACTTAGTTAGATGATCTTCCTCGTCATATATGAGTACATTCAATTCTTTTTCACTTGTGACGCGAGAAACAAAAAACATATAACTGACAATGAGTGAACACGAGCCTACGCAAGTATAATCCAACATTTGATAATTATTGTCATTGACTTTTGTTAATGAGCATAACAAAATAAACAACTATGGGGAGTTGCCTCCGCTGAAAACAAAATGAGATTCTTTTATGAGATGGAGTTAACTTCATGCAAGGTATATAAGTAGTCTCGTTGAAGAATCTAGCATATATGATTCAGGCTTCAATGACGTGTCTTCCAAGCCTAACAATCTATAATCTAGTACCATTGCATAGTCCTTTGGTTTGGTCGATATTACGAAGTAACATGACTGGAAAACCTATTTTTAGTGTAGGTTTATGGTTGGAAATTCTAGATGCCTTAAAACCATTCAACACAACTGAAGAGTAGATTGATTCCTCAAAAAAATCTGGTAACTCTGTCTCACGTAAAGAATTTGAATTCATATATGTTTTCTCATCATCTTTCATCAATCCTAAAATGCAGTCATTGGTAGCATCAAATTCTTCATTTGTAGGGACCAAAATAGCTTTATCTTGAAAATATGACAGATCATCAAGATGGTTTCCAAAGGATGGATAAATAGTGGATACAACTAAATGAATATGGTCACCTGTAGAGCGAACGGCAACGTCTTCTGGAAATTCAACTTCAGCTTCACCATCATTAGGGCCACCGGTATTACCTTCACTAGTTTTAAGAATCCACTCATCAAATGTTTTTGTCTCATCCAAATCATTAGTTAGACAACCAAACTAAAGCCTCATGTTTATGGTTAAACATAAAATTTACATTCACGCCATACTTTGGATGGTTATGATGTCTGCACAATATCCGAACGATTACCTCTTTGTATTGTTGGAAGAATTTGTCTAAAGTCGCCTCCAAATAAAATGGTCTTGCCTCCAAGCGATTATGGAAGATAAATACCTACAGAGCAATGATATCCTATTTGTTGATCATATTTGATGCATAGACTTCACTGTTGTTGAAATGTTCGTTAGAGTTAACTAATACTTTTGTATTGGCATGTGATATCTCTCTAGACAATGCCACAAAAAAGTTGGTCATGCGAGAAACCGATTGTATGAGATAAATACCTACATTTGGAATTCTATGTCCCTAATCTTTATTGATTGTCATCACGAAACATAATCAGATTAGAAATTGTTTTCTTATCAACTTGAATGGGAACATGTCATCTTCATGCGGACATAGAGTTGTCCTTGAACCAAATCTCTGAATAGTTTATTTCGACTATTAGTGATGCAGCGGTACCAAATACTTTCTTTCGATGATTAGTTTTAGAATATTATTTAGGGGTTTAAGGTTTAGAGGGAGGGTGTGTTGCAATACATATTAGCAAATTGGTTAAAAAATGGGACTTATTTATTAATGCAAATTTATATATGTTCTTAGCAGGAACATGCTATACTTTAAAGAACACATAATATATTGTTCTTGTATCATCTCCCATTCCTATATAAGTATACATTAACCCTAAACAAAATAAATAACTATTTTGTCAAAATATATGTTTAAAAACTAAAATAAGTATGTGAAGTTTATTTTAAAACGGGTTGGTGCTAGTAATCTTTATCGTAATATGGTTTCATCTATGAAAAGCATAAACCACGATTACTTTTATAATTTGACAAATTAAAACATGATTACTTTTATATATTTAGACAAAATTTTCGTATAACAAAATTTTAGAATATAATTAATCGTTTAAAGATCATAATGAAATAGAGAATCGATTAATTTGTTGCTATCTTATTTTTATTTTTATAAGGTGGTAACTTCGTTATGTCTTATTTAAAAACTTATATTATAGTATAACTTATATATATATATATATATATATATATATATATATATATATATATATATATATATACAAAATAAATTAATATATTGTTATCATTCTACTTTTATTCCACAAATAAATAAGTACGGTTATAATGTAAATTATTTTAAAATAAGCTGTAATCAGATTTACATAATAGTTATATAAATTTTAGAATTAAGACAACTAATAAAACAAAAAAAATTATGGTTTAACTTTTGTATTATTAACGTAATACTAAATTTAGTATACAAAGAGGAATAGTATTGGTTTTTAAATGATTTTACAAATGGTTATTTAAAACCAGTCATTCAAACATTATTATTTTAAAACAAAAACGCTACCGTCAAAATAACTATTAGACATTTCACAAAGAAAAAACAACACTCTCCTATCTGTATAACATTAAAAAAAATACAAAAAAATTATAAAAAATAAACTATAGTTATGATATCTCTTATAGGGTACATATGATTATTGAATTAATGCCAACAAAAATCTTCAATATTCAAGTGGCTCTAAATACAACTACCCTTCAGTTTTAGGGCCTTTGACTTCACCCCACTGCCAAGCAGAAACGGTTCCTCAAATACTCTAAAAAACCTGAAAGATTAAAACATACAAAAAAAAAGATGAAAAATGTAATATGAACTTTCAAATATAACAACAATATTTTATAGACAATACTACAAACAAGCCAGAAACATGCAAATAGAGACAAAGGAACATCATAATTATATTAACACCATAGACTCATTTAGTCTTATATTTCTTCTTCCCTTATATGAGTTTATCAAACATTTTCTATTTTGTGATGGATTTCTGATTATTTTTTTGAGATATGTGAGGTTGCAAAGAATGGAACAACTAAGAAATGGAATGGATATGTAATCGTAAAAGCAAGATAATAGAATGAGTAATTCCATTCCGGAAACATGTTTGTGAGGCATGAAATGGAACATAATGAAAATTCCATACGTTTTTTTATGTTATATATTGCAATTTAAATTATAAAGATACTCCTTCACATATATTTGTTTAGTTATATGTGATTAAAAATGGTTTATATTGCAACTTTTATACTAATATATTATTTTATTACTGAGAAAACCTTGATACTCACAATGTTCTCAACCCTATTTTCAAGAGTGTATGGTGTACCTATTTATCATTGAGAAAGTAAACTCAATAAGAATATTCAAATCAGTTAAACGAAAGAATAAGATCGTTCAAGGTTCTTACTATACTTCTCGGCATGCCCAGACAACACAAGTTAACCAAAAAGAACCCGCTAATTAAACAAAATTAATCAATCCCAAACATTTTCCAATAAGATTTATCGATGTAATCTATTTACATGGTATACTAAAACTCTGTCTTTTCTTTGCTATTGAGTCTAAAAGATGTTTTTTTATAATATTAAAAAAGGATTGGTGAATAACTTATTTCTGAGAGCCCAATTTGTATTTTTATAAAAAGATGTTTTTTATAATAAATCAAAACAAATATCACCACTGGGTTTTGCTGAGTTGTAGCATACATGGATCACTCACTGGTATAAGGGTTTGAATTCCATCTCCAAGTCCAGGAAGGGATCGAATGGGTAAAGCATTATAGACATTGACTCGAGTATATCTTCCATTCATGACCTGATAAGCCCAAAAAAATCATTGACTAAATGCATATACAAAAATTTTAAAATAAAAAATAAAATCGACATATACAAATTCACTACCTAGTGGACATATCTTCCAAATCGAAACAACTGATGAGAGGTAGTGGTATTGTTGTGTCCATCCTTTTGCTCTCCAGATACCTATAATTTAAAAAATCAAAATCAACAATACAAATCATAAGAACAAAAATCGAAACAGATTCAGAAAACTTAACCATTATGGATTTAAACTTAAATCAAAAGGTTTTATAGATTGGAAATTCATAGTTGAAAAAGATTAAAAGAACACATAATCTAAAACGTACCCAAAATCGATCTAAACTATGATCAAATTAAAGTAAAATATCTTTATATCATTCATCATTCTTCCATGATGATCGAACACAAGACTGACTCACACAGATCGAAGCCCACATATATTCTATTTCGTCTTTCCCCCATTTACTTTTCCATTACAAAACTTAGGTTAGATAAATTATGTAAAGAAAGGAGGAAGATGGCATAAGGGTACTGGTAATGAGGGGTGGGGCGGGGTATTTTTCATTTTATTTTTAGTGAGATTTAACTTTCATTAATTAAATTCTTAATTTAATTTATTTTATTTTTGGTGAGATTTGGTTGTCATTAATATAATTCCTAATTTTATTCATTTTATTTTTGGTGAGATTTAATTGTCATTAATAGACTTCCTAATTTAAAATGTAATATACGTTTTATAACATTTGTGGAAAAAAAAAGGGTTGACAAAGATGATGTCAGAAAATAATCCAATAGTGAAAAATATAGGATTGAAATGCAATCAATGACCATAATTTATTCGTTTAGAATTAAAAGTTCTCTTTTAATAATATTTAGAGTAAAGTCAGGTGTTATAGTTATAATATTCACATTGCAAAATAAGAAGTATAATAATGAAATCAAATTTATCAAAGTAGATTTAAGGACATGTATTATTTGGTATAAATGCACTTTGATCTTAAAAAGTACTTTCCTTCACTTCTAGTGTTAAGTAATCGCTTAGTAGTCACAAATGGTTTAACAATTATACACTAAATCAATGATTAGTTTCATAAAATAAGTATAGACCCAACTTCCAATTATAATTATCTTAATTAAACTATTGCGAAAACTATAAAAAGTAATAAGGAAGCTAAAGGCTTAAGTGGAAAAAGCTGAAAACTTGGCATTCAATAGCTAGTTACTCAACCGAATCAAGCCATGCCAAGGCATGAACTTGACCGAGTCACCCTCATCACAACACATTGCGAACAATTTTTGCTTCTATATTGTTCAAATATGTCTAAACTACTTCCAATACATTCCAAACAACTTCCACTTGTCCTAGTTATGTACTAACATCTAAATAATTGTTTTAGTACATCCGATGTCATTGAGTTTCATCCTCTAATCATGATCTACAAGCTCAACATGAAGGTGGAATTAACTACTTGGCGGAATGATGTCTCCTTTATGATCTAATGCTTGATTCTAAACTTAAAACTCATCCAAACCTTCCTAATTAAGAAAAATCTTGGATTTAGGAAATCCCCAAATCTTAACTCGAAATAGTGGAGAAGAATCATAAGTAATGTACCTTATAAAGCTTAAATGGATCGATTTAAGTTTTTTCTTTCCTCCTGACCAACACTTCAAACTTCTTCCTAATTCTTCCCCAGCCTCAAAGTCACCAACTCTTTTTCCCTCCAAAGTCCAAACTCTGTCAAATCGATTTGAGTTCAAATGAAAATGGAGAAAAGTGTAAGTCTCATCTTTTGCATCTTTACATAATTGGTCCCTTAACTAGCCATTTTTCTAAATTAACCACTAGTTGGTTCTACTGAGGGGTGTAAACGAGCTGAGTCGAGCCCGATCTTGGTCGGGCTCGACTCAGACTCGTTTAAGTTATGAGGGGATCGAGCTCGAGCTCGGCTCAATTCGAGCTTTATTGGATGAAGCTCGTCTTGAGCTTGTGAAGAATTATATAGGTTCGGCTCAGGCTCAAGATTGGCTCGTTTATTGTCTGATGAGCCTAAATAAACTTAAGCTCGGTTCAAGGTCGTTTATTGATACCCTAAATCCCTAATTCCTCAAATATATTTTATTATTTTAATATATAAAAATAATAATAATGTATATTATATACAAGGTTGTAGAACTCGTTACTCGGTACATGTTCGGCCGACTACCGAGTAGCGAGTACTCGGGAGTACCCGGGAGTACTCGGGGAGTATTCGGATTTGGTAATTCATGTAGAAATATTTTTAGGGAAATTATATATGTCAAAATTACAAGTTTAAATCATACGTTGATTGAAATATATAACAAAATTAGATACATGTGAATACACAAAAACTGAAAAACACATAATGTTCTCACTTCGTGAATAATTGCTGAAAATTTAAGATATATATGTAGTAATAATCACATATGTGTGTTAAATAATATCATTAAGTATATTATACATATTAATCACCGAGTTGACCAGGTTTTATAACACTGCTTAGTTCAGTAAGGGACCGATCGGGGAGTACTCGGGATTCTGTAACTCGCCTCGGTAAGGGACCGAGTAGCGAGTACTCGGAGGAGTAATCGGACAACTCGGTGAGTTTTACAACATTGATTATATATAAACTCGTTTAGGCTTGTTTAGGCTCGCAAACTCATTGATCGAAGCTCGGCTCGAGCTCATTTAATAAATGAGCCTCATATTTAGGTTTGAGCTCGATTCAGGCTTGTTTAATTCGATATCGAGTTGAGCTTTTAACGAGTCGATTCTGAGTAGCTCAACTTACTTACACCCAAAGTTCTACTAGCCTTGGTCAGTTCCTTTATTTACCATTCTAACCCTACTTAACATCGTTTCTAACAAAAATGGTCCAAGATGATTTAGTTAACAAAGGATCAGTTTTTGGCGCGAACGATGATGACTGCTTACAATCTCTCAAAGGTACCTTTTTTTTTCACAGCTATGGACAGACAACGATCCCGACTATAAACTATACAAATGTTTTACCTATGCAATTCACCTTGTAAACGGCCGCATTATGCTGATTGCATATTCACTGGTGTAAATAGCAAGCGTGGATCTTGTGACAACTTCACATCGTGTTCAACGATGTCTATGCTTTGTAGACATCGATTTCTCAACCTGAAGCATCTGTATTTCTATCATCGGAAACGACACATCTTCGCATCAAAACCTAGAGAACCATTTCGAGTTCTCATTGTTTGTTGTTAACTTTCTAACTTCCTTCCGGCTGCTGCTCCCCAAGTGTTTGATAATATTCCTGAACCAGATTATGCGTTTTAGGCTTTAGCTCTTGTTTTTGTTCAATCTCGTTGTAGAGTTTGTGGTATATCCGACTATTCCGTGTCTGGATATGGAGAGTCCGGTGCCATATAGCAGAGGGTTGCAGAAACATTCGATCACGAAGCAAGCGCGAAGTGGATATGAACCATCTGATACAGAGACAGAATTGCATGAAGCTCCTTGGAATCAATTCAATAAAAAGAGCTTAGAATTGGGATCTGGAGTACCAAAGATGAATTCCGAAGAAACTAGAAATTTAAATCATCTGAGACTCAACAGAAGACACTCTTCAAAGTTCGATCCTGAAGGTCTCCCACCTCCGAGAAGACACAGCAAATCTCCATACAAGACACGACGAGATGACGCGAATCCCCGATCACCAACTCTCGGCCCACTTCCTCTTCCACCTGGCAGAAACATCAGCCCCTTTTCAAAATCTGAGCGTAGGAGACACGTTTCACCTTTTCTACAATCGCATGATCCATTAGATGATAATGATGAAGCTAATGGCTCATATATCAAGCAAAAACACAGACAATCAAATCATGATTACACTAGAACATTGTCAGCATCCAGACTTCGACCAAAGGACAAAGACCAAAGGGTAAAAAGGAGAGACGAAAGAAGTAGAACACCTCCATTACGCCGAAGTATTACCCCAAGAAAAGACAAAGAAGTAAATTCCAAGAATTCTCATGCTCCTTCTGTAGGCGAGATCAATGAAATGGTTGCAAATGCGAAACTCTCCAAGAGTCCAATCCGACGTGGCGCAGTTTTCGATAGCACAGACTCTCTTCCAGGTGGAGATATCTTCTTTTCTCGAGATTATCCACCAGTTTCAAAACCGAAAGTCTTCATAGAAAAGAAATCCTACAAATCAAACACCATTCCTAACTACAACACTCCTGGTATTTACTCTTCTAGTCTTTTAACTCCTACAACTATCATCTCAACTTCTGCTGTAAGTAGACAAAGTAGCAATGTAAGCGATGCTAGTGGGAAGTCAACGGGGAGTTCTTGGAAGTTCACTGCAAATAGGAAAAAAAACCAGACAGATGCATGGTTTTCTTGCATAGGGAAAGGATCTTGTCGAAGTCGAACTACTAAAAAGTCTCCTGAAAGAGCTTTTGATGAAGCTTCTTTTATTGAAAAGGCTTTTGTTGTTGAAAGTCTTAGACAATTTTGGGCTGATAAACATCAACCTTCTTCATTGGATGGATTTGCTTGCCATAAACAAGAAGCCCTGCAACTTAAACAACTTGTAAGTGTCTTCAGTTTCTTAATCTTTGTTTTTTGTTTATATGAATTTGGTTATAAAGATTCTTATTATGTTGTAATTTAGGCATCACAAGAAATATTTCCACATATTCTTTTCAAGGGGCCTCAAGGTTCAGGGAGGAAGGCATTGACAATGGCCCTACTACGTGAGATATATGGAGATGCTGCTCGAAATGTAATTTTAGTTTTAATAACTAAAACTATGTTTACCCTTTATAGTTTATAAATTACACACCAATACTCAAATTTCTCATTTTTTTTTTACCTTTCTTTTGCAGATATCTCATGATTTAAGATACTTCCAGATTCAGGTATGAAAACAGGAAGTAAAATTATTCCACATTACAATCCACATGGTTATATTTTTTAGTTAATGACATAAATAGGTAACAAACTATTTTTTTTACAAAACACCATTGTTTTTTTAAAAAAAATACCATACATGGGTGACTAACTATTTGTTTTCATCCACAAATTACCATTAAAATAATGGTATTTCACTACTTTGGGACCAAGCCCTTTTTTTTTCGATTTTCACCTGCTTTACCAGGTATATCAGGTCATATTTCATATTTACACTTTTGACCCAAATTTTAAATTTTGTTACAAATTTGGTCCAAACTTATAATTTTGTTACGTGTATGTTCCAAACTTTAAAACAAAAAGTTTGGACCAAATTTATGTAGAATTTGTTAAAACAAAAAGTCTGGACCATATCGATAACAAAATTTAAAACTTTGACCAAACTCGTAAGAAAGTTTAAAATCTGGGTCAAAAGTGTAAATATGAAATATAACAATTTTTTGTTTACAGGAAACAAGGTTGACTCAAGTAGCTGTTCCTGTAACTTCAAGTGTGCATCATGTAGAGCTTAATGTGTATCTGGAAGCTAATGCCAGATATGCCCTTATGGCTTCAGTTAAACAAATAAGTAGCAACCATTCAGTTGCTCCTGAGATTAGTACAGTTAATTTGAAGCCAGATTTTACAGTTATGGTCCTTTATGATGTTGATAAAGCTGATGAAAGCATTCAGCACTTGATAAAGTGGATCATGGATTGCTATTCAGATGTTTGTAAACTTGTCCTTTGTTGTGAGGATGATCTCCATATTCTTGAACCTGTCAAAACTAGGTGCCACGTCATCAAACTTGATCCTCCAGTGACTCATGAAGTAAGTGCTAGTTAACATTTCTTTTTTACTTAAATTTACTTTTTTTGGAATGTAAGGGTAAAACGGTCATTTAGACGGTTTATTCAGTCTTGAAAAGAAACAAAAACAGACCTTATGTATATATACAACACTTTATCCAGACAAACACCATTAATGTGGCTGAATGGGTAATGATGTTTGTCTGGATAAAGTGTTGTATACATAAAGTATGTTTTTTTTATTGTTGAATGAGACTAAATGACCATTTTACCCCTACTTTGTAACAAACAATATTCACAATATTAGTTAATTTTAACAGTATTCATCACGTGAGAGGAGTTTTGACAGTGATGTATACATAAAGTTTGTTTTTTTTATAGTTGACCGAGACTAAATGACGATTTTACCCCTACATTGTAGCAAACAATATTCACAAATATTAGTTAATTTTAATATTATTCATCACGTGAGAGGAGTTTGGACAGTGTTGTATACATAAAGTTTGTTTTTTTATAGTTGAACGAGGCTAAATGACCATTTTACCTCTACATTCCAACAAACAATATTCACAATATTAGTTAATACATTTGGTGAATAACTTTTTTATTTATAAATGAAATTTTCAGATCATGGAAGTTCTTATTCAAATAGCAAGGAAAGAAAACTTTGATTTACCAATGAAATTTGCTGCAAAAATTGCTAATAAATCCAAACAGAATTTAAGGAAAGCAATCATGGCTCTTGAAGCATCCAAGTCTCACAAGTAAGAAGAAATTTATTTATTATCTTTGATAATAATAATAAATTTTATATAAAATAAAATTTTCTTACTTCTTATTATTCTAACACTCAAGAATTTATGCAGCTATCCTTTTGTAGAAGATCAACCAATTGCAATAGGATGGGAAAATGTCCTAATTGACCTTGCTGCTGAGATCCTAGCTGATCCATCATCTAAGAGGCAAGTTTATAAATTATAACATTTTTTTAATGTAATTTTTAATGAGAAATCTTTTTTGAAATATTACATTTTTTTTAACAGGCTATTTCTCATACGTGGAAAGCTACAAAAACTTCTGGTGGAGTTTGTTCACCCAAAATTGATTCTTTTGGTAAATTTATGTGACTTTTTAGTAAAAGAAATTTAATTGTATTAAAATCCATTTCATTATTAAAATTTATATAAATTAAAATTTTTCCATGTGTACAGAAACTGATTGAACAGTTCCTCAAAGGTGTAGAAGCTTCCATCAAAAGGGAACTATATTATTGGCATGGTTATTATGTAAATTCCATGTCATTCTACCATAAATATATATATTTTTTGTTAATTTTTATGAAATATATGCGACTTAAATTTAATGCTAACTTTCAGGATAAGAGACTCCCGGTTGGAACCAGTGCCTTACTAAAATTAGAAGGTAATAAAGATAATCAGTTTTTTTATATGATCTATTTATGATAAATGAATGCATCAAAAGGAAAAATAAACGGGTAAATTTGTAAATAGTGAGGATTTAATATAAAGGTTTTTTTTTTATTATGTTCCGCATTAAGTAAAAAAAAAACATCTATATATAGCTTACTGAAGCATCTTACCTATTTGCTTTTATTTTTTTTTATTCCTTTCAACTCATCGCATGTTAATATTATTTATTGTTAAAATTAATGAATATTGTGAAAATTGATTTTGGAATGTAATGGTAAAACGGTCATTTAGTCTCGTTCAGAGGTTATTCATCAGTCCAAAAAAGAAACAAACAGACCTTATGAATACAACACTTTATCCACAAAAACAAAACAAAACAGACTTTATGTATACAACAAACACACACACAAAAAAAAATATAAATTCGTAGTAGAGAAAGTCAGGAAAAATTTACTATTATTTATTTTTTCCTTTATTTTTAAACATTATTTATCCACTTCAACAAATTTTTTATTGCTTTTCCTAACAGAGTTTGTTGCCAAATTCATGAGTATACACCGCAAGAATTTACTTAATCGTCAGTGACTGACTGAAGTTTTGCGAATGCTTATTCGGACACAACGGAAAGAAAAGATAATGCGGAACCCTAAGATTGCAACATTTTCTTTTGGGGGAATTGTTTGGTGTGAAATTACATATTTACCCATTATAATCATTATGAATATAGATTTGGTTGTGTGGTTGTGGGTGCTTTTTATAAATATTTTGTATCAAGTGGTGAATTATGTTGAACGTAAGTTTGTATATTTTTAGTTAATAGTTGTTTTGAGTTAAGTCACTCAAAAAGAGGTATAAATTTTGAAAATAAAATGATTTGTTGTAATAGTCATTAAACACACACATCCATGGATAAAACCTTAATCACATCCAATGATTGTATAGAATTTTGAAAATAAAATGATCGTTGTAATTATATTTATTCAAAGTAATTTTTTGTTGTATAGTCATTTTTGGAACAGTGTTACAAAACATCTGGCACAATGAAATTGGGTCGTCATGCCAATTTTACACACCACCACTCAAACTCAAAATAGTTAACGATTCTATAGTTAAATTTAAAGGGAGAGGGATGGACTCTGTAATTAACACATACCACAGGGACTGGAGCTGTAACAAAAAAAAAGTTGGACCAACATAGACTATTATTGTAAACCATAGGGACCATTTATGTAAGTTTGTCTATATTTAATTGTCGCTTAACCGTTTCGATTTTGTATGGAGCAAGGAAATGTTAAAGATTTTGTGGTGGTAATTGGTGCAGAGAGCGATGGTTATTCGCGACAAGAGAAAACTTTAAGCGGTTGTTTTCACCACAAGCCATGGAGAGGAGGGAAGGAGTCTTGTTCCAAACTTTCTCATGGGATGATCTTCTTCTTCTTCTTCGTTTCTCGTTTCCCTCTCTGATTCCTTTCCTTCAACTCCACAACCGTTAAAGGTACAATTCTTGCTTACATGTTTCTTTTATCGATCGGAAATTTTCTAAATTTTCTCTGCATCTGCATTCGATGACTAGTTTTTCTTGCTCGTGATTTTTGGAATTCGATGCTTAATTCGGTTAGCTTAGTGTTTCACATTCGACTTTGCTCGTTATTACGATTTCACTTTAAGTTAATTTGTTCAACACAATGTTAGGATGTTTCACATTTGAATTTGCGTGTTATTATGACTCTGGTTCAATTAATTCGTTTCGGAGGTTCTAGGATTTAATTTTGTAGTATGCGCAAAACAATTGTTCGATTCGGCGCTCATACATTCTCAATGCATAATATGCATCCAATTTTTAGGGTAAAATTGAGTCGTTTGAAAGAGTAAGGATGTTTTAACTTCAATGTTCGAAACTGTTAGAAAACGAATGTTGCATTCAAATATTGCGACTAATTGGGAAATTATGCACTTGTTTCTTATTATAATCTGTTTTTTGATGATGTTGTTTGCTTTTTGATCCAACAAAATTCTGAAAACAATACAGATCTTCATGGTGCAATGCCTACATTTACAACAGTGGCTTTGGATAGTTTAATAGAACCAAAAGCTTCTAAGCTAGCATCAACAGGGAAGACAAAACCTGAACCAAAACTGGAGAGAAGAAATAGCAGCTCCACTCTTACAAAACAAGGCAGTGGAATCCATGGTGCTGATGGAAAACCAGAATTGGGAAACACCACAATCACAACGGAAAGAAAGCATCATTGGAATCAAATTTCACCTGCTCTTTATGCTACCCCTGAACCAACACCACTTCCAGATTCTCAACTATCATTTCCATCATCACCTTATGTTGTTGACCATAAGAGACGTGGACCTAGACTTTCCAAGACCTATTCAGCTGTTCTTCATCGTGATGAAAAAAAGGCTGTTGAAATTGGGAAAAGTTTAGAAGCTGAAGATGTTGGATCTAGCAAGGTTTTTGACACCAAAGATACTGTTTCTACTAATGCTGATGTTCCCCATGTGAAGTTTCTGAATAATGGAGATCTTGGATCAAAAAAGGTTCTGAATGTCATAAATACTGTTTCTGGTGATGTTGATGATACGCGTGTCAATTTTCATCATAATGCAGATGGACGTGAGAATTCAAGAAAGCATGATGCATTGGAAAGAGAAGGTGAGGTGGATGATTTCTTTGATCCTAATGATACAATGAGTGGAAGTGATGGGGAAACTAATCATGTAGTAGAGCGCCCTTTAAATGTCCACACTCCATTTGCTGAGTTTTATGATGCTTGGGAAGGTAATCTGATTTTATTCCCATCAGTTTTTCCTTATGATCTATTCTATCTTTATATATTAGGATCATTTGGGAGATCTATGAATAAGTTATTCTGTTAACATGCTATGATAATGAAAAGGTTAAATGCAAGAAACAGCTACATACTTTCATTTATTTTTTTAACTATAATTTATAGTATCCTGCTCTGTTCTCTTTCTATTACACACAATTATATAGCATTGTTCTCCAAATACAAATCAATTTTAACTGCTATATGCTATTTCTTGGGTAGATTTTCAAAGAAAATACAATGCTATAATTGGGTAGATTATTCAAAGTAAAATGCCCTAATAAGGAAAACGCTTAATCACAAATTTGGTCCCTGTGTTTAATTATTTTCTTGGTTTGGGTTCAAAAAGTAATCTTTATACAATTTTCGGTTTTATTTCAATGTTTCATAAAGCTTTTGGTCCTTCTAACTCACACTATTAATAAATGAAAGTTAAAATTTTCGATACCAAACCCCACCCTCCAAGAATATTTTTTCATAATGACTATTCTACCCCTTCTTTATCTAGTATAAGAAAACATCGAAAGCACAGGATCTAATAGAAAGAAATAAAAGTAGGATGCTACAATACACAAACAAAACCCCACCCTCCAAGAATATTTTTTCAAAATGACTATTCTACCCTCCTTTATCTAGTGTAAGAAAATATCGAAAGCACAAGATATAATAGAAAGAAATAAAAGTAGGATGCTACATACAATACACAAAGAAATGAAAGTACACTGCTATTTCTTTCATTTCAAGTTTCAACCATATTACAATACTAAGGAATTGGTGATTCCGATGTGTTATCGCCACAGAACTGGCAACAGAAACCGGAATCCAGCATAAGGCAACTGACATTGAGGGGGAATTACGTGAGATGCGATCAGGATTTCTATATGAGAGGGAGAAAAGAAGGCAAGCTGAAAATCGTTTGAATGATATGAAAAGTCAATGGGGGAGGATTCGTGAAAAATTAGCCATTGTTGGATTGAATCTTCCTTTAGATCCTACTGTAGTGGAGGATGATCAAACAAAAGATCCTGGAGAAGAGATATGTCGCCAGGTTGATGTTTTACGGTTTGTTTCCAATTCCGTTGGGAAGGGAATTGCAAGGGCGGAAATGGAATCACAATTCCAGTCTAAGAACTTTTGAGATTGCTAGGTTGTTGGATCGAGTGCATTACTATGAGGCTGTTAATCATGAAATGTCTCAGAGGAATCAAGAAAGTGTTGGTGAGTTTTATACTTCGACATTTCCTTGACTTTTTCTATTAACCTCATTAAGTAAAAGAGAAACAACACTATGGAATTGGGGAATGATTTGTTATATTGAAATGTCAAAAAGAAAAAAAAAATGTTTGTTTTGCCTGATGGAATGGAATGGACGATTCATGAAGGAATGTGATTCCATCTATTTTGATAATAATTTCCATTCCATCATGAAATTGCAATCGAACCCATTTTTTGTTGAGCAATTGTTAATGAAACAAATATTTTCAAAAAAGTTCATTTCGTTGAACTAAATTACATTTATGTTTTTTTAGTATTTTGTGTTTGTTTCGGATTAAACCTCAACTTTATTTTTTTCCTAAAAAAGACCTTGCATTTTTTCATTTTTTTCGATCCGGCCCTTTTAGTCATTTTTTGCCAAAAAAACTTGTAACATGTGAGGGTTTTTTCGGAAAAAAGTAAAATAGTTGAGGGTTTTTTCGGAAAATGAATAAAGTACAAGGTCTTTATCAGGAAAAAAATAAAGTTAAGGTTTAATTGGAAAAAAAAAACACAAAATATAAGGTCTTTTATGAGATTAAACCTTTTCAGAACCAATTATAAAATAATATATATTTTTTTATTATAACTTATTTAGATGTTAATAATAACGAGCTTTTATTATGTACAATGTATTATATTACTTAAATCCATAGAATAAAATTAAAATTATATCGTATCTACACATAATGTAAAAAAAATCATTTGAAAATTCATTTCCATTCGTAGATGCCACCCAAACATGATCACGACTCATTCCATTAACTTATATATATAGTGATTAATTGATTAATAACTCGTCTAAATGCACATATTTTTGTCAAAGTGTCAACTATTACTTTTAGAATTTTTGTTTATTTATTTATTTTTTATAGAAACCATGCGACGACTTAGGCAAAAGAGGAAGAAAAGACAAAGGTGGATTTGGGGTTCAATTGGTGTTGCAATTACACTTGGAAGTACCACCTTAGCCTTGTCTTACCTCCCAACTGCAAAACCATCATCATCTGAATCCAACCGTTCCACTCAGTGATCACTACCCCCACCCACCACCACCGGGTATGTCTCAATACCTCAATAAGAAAAAAATTGAATCTCAAATCAAACTATGATACTACAAATACACATAGTTAAATGAAAGATGACCAAATATGTTTAAATGCAAGAAATAGCAATGTACTTTCAAAGCACAATTTTTTTTAAAAAAAAATTTGGAATTACACATATAGAAGTGAGACTATTATGCTATAAATTATAATACACAGATAAATGAAAGTATGTTGCTATTTCTTGCAGGTTAGTCCCGATTGTACGTTGAGCTTTTTGAGAAGGTTGTATATAATACATATTTTTCGGCAGTAATAAAACATTTTTGGCAGTAATAAAAAACGTGGTAATTAGAGTTTACACTATAAATGTAAACAAAAGTTACCATTGTGAGAATTTGTGGGGTGGAGAAAGAGATCATTGCAAGAAGTTGTGTCAAGACTCCTAGGTGTAATTATTCTTTTTGAATTTCTTTTTATTTTTTATTTGTTAATTAAAGTTTATGTTTGCCAAATTTAAGAAAAAAAGATCTTAAATTTGTGTTTGGTTATCGTTTTTTTTTTCTTTCATCTGTCAAACATAATAATTAAATTAAGGACATGTTTAACGGATTATCTGAAAAGCTATTTAATAACTGAAAACTTGATGTTAGATAAAAAAATGATGTTTGGTAACACGAGCTGAAAAGCAAATTGAAATATGTAAAATGACATAAAATAGCATGTAGAAGATTGAGTTTTTTTAAAAGGAAATATTAATAAAGCGTATATTTGGAAGAATTAAAAAAATCTCAATAAGCTCTTTCATATGCTAGTCTAAGTAGTTATTTGAAAAGACAATTTAAAATTACTTTTTAATTAGTCAAACATGATAACATAAAAAAACTCGAAAAATAAATTTGTTTATAAACAATGTTTTAAAATTGGGTTTTTTAGTTGACCCGATATTAGTTCAAACTGGTTTTTAGAATTTTCATGCATTTTATAAATATGTTCATACATATAAATTATATATAATATATAATTACCACATGTATCAAGGTCTTTTATGTACTTGTAAAAAAGTTATAATAATAGGGAACGTGGTGATCTACTAACTAAATGCCTAAGTGAAGTATGGATTAATTATATTTAGTTAAAAAAGTTATAATAATAGGGAACGTGGTGATCTACTAACTAAATGCCTAAGTGAAGTATGAATTAATTATATTTAGTTAAAATATGTATAAAAGTCTTTTTAGATGAAAAGCCTAATGGGATTTGCTCTCTATGTGTGTGCGAAAATGGATAATGACTTGATAGGGTAAAATACTTTTTGAAATGTATACATTTAGTCCTTATTCTTTTTTTTTTGTAAAATAAACCCTTATACTTTATTTTTTGTAACAATGCAATCCTTGTGACCGGCTATACCCGGTATACCGGTCATATACGAATTTTCTTTAAGGGAAAATGACTTGATATGGTAAGATACTTTTTGAATTGTACACATTTAGTCCTTATTCTTTTTTTTTTTGTAAAATAAACCCTTATACTTTATTAATATGTACACATTAGGTCCTTTTCATCGGATTCTACAGGTTTTGCTGATGTGGAAGCACAAGTGGCACTAAATAGCAATTAATTAGCTTAGTCACCGGAGGTGGGTGATCCTCCAGCAACAAGAAAAGGGCGGCGACCCTTCTCTTTCTCGTCTCTCTTCCTTCTGGTCGAACATCAACAGTCAAACACCCTTTACATGTTGTGTTTCTCTGATCTGTCTCTCTTTGCCTCCATCTTTGAGATATGTTGCCAGAAAAAGAAGAAAGAATCGACGAGGGGGCTACCAGAGCAGCTCATCGCCGCCAACTACAGTCTTTACTTCCTCCTGCCTCTCCCTTCGACCTTGTTGTTTTTGCCATCATTCCTCCTTGCTACCAGTGATGTGTAGGAACACACAAAGGAGTCGCCGGAGATCGGGGTTCTCCCTCTTTTTCATGATGAATAAAAGTTGGAAAAATCTCGTTGTGGATATGTGGATGTCACCTGGGTATTTCATTTCAACAAAATAAAAGAAAGGGAAAATGACTTGATAGGGTAAGATACTTTTGAAATGTACACATTTAGTCCTTATTCACACGTCCTGTAGAATCCTTGACCTAATGTGTACATATTAATAAAGTATTATTTTATTAAGGACTAAATGTGTACATTTCAAAAATTATCTTACCCTATCAAGTCATTATCCCGTGCGAAAATGATTTCCTTCTTTCCATTATTTAACTACAAAAATCTTTATTGTTAACAAACAACACTTGCTTGTGTATGGAGAAGAATAGCTTTTAGGAAGGAAAGAAGGGATAATGACTTGATAGGGTAAGATAATTTTTGAAATGTACACATTTAGTCCTTATTTTTTTTTTTTGTAAAATAAACCCTTATACTTTATTAATATGTACACATTAGGTCATTTTCACCGGATTCTATAGGTTTTGCTGACGTGGAAGGGTTAATTTTACAAAAAAAAAAAATAAGGACTAAATGTGTACATTTCAAAAAGTATCTTACCCTATCAAGTCATTTTCCCTTTCTTTTTATTTTGTTGAAATGAAATACCCAGGTGGCATCCACATATCCACAACGAGATTTTTCCAACTTTTATTCATCATGAAAAAGAGGGAGAACCCCGATCTCCGGCGACTCCTTTGTGTGTTCCTACACATCACTGGTAGCAAGGAGGAATGATGGCAAAAACAACAAGGTCGAAGGGGGAGGCAGGAGGAAGTAGAGACGGTAGTTGGCGGCGAGGAGCTGCTTTGGTAGCCCCCTCGTCGATTCTTTCTTCTTTTTCTGGCAACATATCTCAAAGATGGAGGCAAAGAGAGACATATCGGAGAAACACAACATGTAAAGGGTGTTTGGCTGTTGATGTTCGACCAGAAGGAAGAGAGACGAGAAAGAGAAGGGTCGCCGCCCTTTTCTTGTTGCTGGAGGATCACCCACCTCCGGTGACTAAGCTAATTAATTGCTATTTAGTGCCACTTGTGCTTCCACATCAGCAAAACCTGTAGAATCCGGTGAAAATGACCTAATGTGTACATATTAATAAAGTATAAGGGTTTATTTTACAAAAAAAAGAATAAGGACTAAATGTGTACAATTCAAAAAGTATCTTACCCTATCAAGTCATTTTCCCTAAAAGAAAATTCGTATATGACCGGTATACCGGGTATAACCGGTCACAAGGATTGTATTGTTACAAAAAATAAAGTATAAGGGTTTATTTTACAAAAAAAAAAGAATAAGGACTAAATGTGTACATTTCAAAAAGTATCTTACCCTATCAAGTCATTATCCCAGCAAAGAATTATTAAGTTAACGTGACAACATAACTGATTATGTTGACATCGAATAAAATTAATTGTTGTAGTCATAACTTTGTATATAGGTAAGTTTTAAATTTAAAGGAAGAAAGAAAAAGTATAAGTGAATATGGTCCGGTTTGATAGTTTTTGAATTTAGGAAATCATTTATCTTTGTTATTTATTATTTTTGTTTTTTTTTTGTTAATAAATAATTTGTGTTTTGTTACTTCATTAACCATGTTGATTACATCTAACAAAAAGAAGTAATGTACTAAATATAATATAACATGACGTAAAATGCCGATTTATAAATTCACTTCATTTGGTTTCTTAGGTTTTCTATGAAAAAAATGAAAAGGGCAACCTAAACATAAAAATTTGGGCTTTTATAAATCAAAAATCAAACCGGGGTTTTTCAGAATAATTTGGTATTTTGTTTTTGCAAACTCCTGAAAAAGAAAGTGAAAAGGGTCAAAGTTGCCAAGTGTCAAAGCATTAATAAATCCAGGTAGTAGAATAATGAATGTTATTTAGCATATTATTTCGAAATGGTTGTAGATAAATATTTTGTTATATTAATTTGAAATTTTTTATTTATGAAATGAATATAAATTTTCAGTTCATTGATATATATATAGATATATATATATATATATATATATATATATATATATATATATATATATATATATATATAACGACACTTATTTTAATTTGGAAAATTGAACTTTGAAATAGAAGATACAAATGAAGTTGGGAATTTTGCAGTATAAATAATGTTTCTTTGGTTGAAAATAAGAGTATACTTCGCAGGTTGAATGGCTATGGATCCTCTTCACCACCATTAACTTAATAAAAATATTCTTTTTACCTTTATCACAATCATTTTGTTTTTTAATTGTCATTTTCCTTGCTTTCCATTTGTTAAATAAGAAAAAATCATATACATAATTTTTTTGATTTTTTATACACTCTTTGGGCCATTGGTCAAGGTGCGGAAAATATGGACTTAATGGAGCCCATTTTTAGTTATAATACAATAATATATCTTTTATTTGCTTTTTCCACTTTTCTTCTTTATTTTTTCAAAGGATAAAAGTGACGGTTGCATATATTGATTTTTTTAAAAGGCTTGAAAATAAATAATGTTGTATGAAATTGCTGCATCTTAAAAAAAATTCTGTAATATGCATGTCAAAATTCTTCCATCTAAAATGATAGAACGAAGCCTCTATGGAAAATAATACATGTTTATAATCATATGTTTGTGTCTAAAGTCTTTGCATGTCCAATGCAATATTCGCAAGGACAAAGGTCCGAATCATGAGAAACAAGGAACCTCAACTATCTAACCACAATGTTTGCAACGACAATCAAAAGAATAAACAAATAAAGATATTATAAATCGTTGTATTTATTTGGGTTTTATGTTTATAGTTGTATTGGCCAAAAACGGCTGTATATTGTTGTTTTTAATAAAAATGTTTTGTTTATTATTTACACCTAGATATAAGAAAATAATACTATGCATATATATAGCTCGGAAATATAAGTATATACATCTGAAAATACATGAATTTATTTGTATTTCTTTTAAGTACACGTCAAAAATGTTAAGAGGAGTGTATATTCTAGTGTTTTTACAAATAAAATCACAATATAATCGGATAATGTTAGAATCAAATCGAATCGTATTAAATACATTTTATATTATTACCATAAAATATACAATAATCATCATTTAGTATTTGATAAATATAAAGTTACTCTTATAATTATGGAAGGTGGTTAATCTCATTAGAATCAATGTCGTCCCTTTTCTTCTTAATCTATAATTGTTACAAATGGTTTTAGAGTTCTCACAATTGTTTGATCATGATTTATATTCATACATAATAGATCATAAACAACAAAAACATAAAATTAAAAATATTATGGTTAAACCATGGATCCTTGTTCATTAATTAAAAACAACAAATAATATATAATAGGGTTTAATAAGAATACAATTATGATGTCAATAAGTTCAAGAACTCAAAGTATTGTTCTTCTAATGGATTCTCACACCTTGGCTTCAAGCAAGCAAGTTCCTTCTTGGTGACGTTGAAGTGGAGAAAGGAGATGGAGAGGGAGGCTTCAAATTAGGTTTTAGCTAAAGGAGCGTCCCTTGGTCTCGCATTCCTTATATGAGGAGGGAAAATCCTAGGAGCCTTTCTTAGCCTTTAAGTTTGATTAAATTATGGTAACACTACAATAATATAAACTTGAGACTATTATTGCATAAATGAACCACTTAATTAATTTATATTTATTACGCAAATGACCCTCTTGCTTTTCTAGATGAGCCAAGTGTGTAACCCAAATTGGCATATGTAATTAGTAATTGTGTCGCTAACTTGTTGTGCTAATGAGCATATCTCCAA